TAAAATATGATTTCTCATTAGTTATTAGTTTTGATTTCACGGCATCATCTAGAAAAATTAGTGAATGCAAAAATTCTTTATCAAAATTTGAAATAGAAAGTGTTTCAAATAATTCGTCCCTTTGTTTATCAATAATTTTATCCTCTAATCCTTGCTTCTTGATTGTATTATATAACTCTTTATACATTAAAAAGTTTTTTAAATAATCTTCTGCTTCTTCTTGTGATAAATAAATAATTGGAATTTTTATTAAATGCTTTAATGATTCAAATGTATCATCTGAAGGTGAACCAGAACGGTTGATATAAATTAACACATGAGAATAAGGTGAAGTGTTAGCAATAATGATAATTTGTTTTAATATCGTTAATGTTTTACCTTTATTTTGTTTACCAATTGCTGCAGTGATTGAATTTAAGTAACATTCAGAATATGGAATTTTCATTAATTTTTCCTTAGATAGAGCATTTCTATTATCACTCAATGCTTCATTAATCATATCATCTACGTATGTATTATATACTCCTGCTAATTCTTCATAAGGGGTGGATGAATTTAAATCCATTTAATCAAAAATAAATTTATAATTTTAAACATTTCTATTCATCAATATTTCATCATATGAACTTCTATACTGTGGTGGTGTACCTGTTGGATGATATTTCAAACCTTCATCCGGTGTCCATGTCCAATATGTAGTCCTAGTAAACCAAACCTGAGGAGGATTTGTCACCTTTGAACAGTAAGTGTCATTTACACCCTGAATGATTGGATAAGCTTTCACTTGTACTGTAACTTGTGAGTTGAAAGTTTCTAATCCATCAAAGAATATATCCGCTCCATCACGTTGAACTGGAATAGTGCATAAGAATGAAGTTTGGTCTTTCCATGTTCTAGCTAATGGCGTGCCATCATCTGCATTCAGTGGTCTAGTTAATGAGTCCTCGTATTCTTCTGTGCATTCATTCACTCCATCTAAATCAGAAGCTTGAAGCATACGTGTAAAGAATATGTCACCCACTGTGGTCATCGCTTGATCGGGGAAGTTTCTGGAATCTATTGTGACCTGGAGACCTCGAAGCATTGGATTTTCTAAAACCGTTCTTTGCATTGCATTCTTCGGAAATGTTAACACAACATCTGTAACATTATGAAGAGCGTATGAGAAATCTGAGCTAATACCTTCAGGAGTGATGCAACCTCCATTTAGTGAACGAACGTCAATATGTTGAGCTGGAATCATGAATGGATCTTCCTTACTGAATAAACGTGGTATTGCTTTAATTGATTCTTCAATTAAACCGTATCCTGGTGTAATGCATTTATCCTCTAAAACTTCCATCTTTGTGCATGAAATAATAACGTCTTCAACTGTTGCGTCAGCAGATGTAGCGGCTAAGCTTGTAATTAATTTGGCAGGAAGTCCGATTTGTTGGAATTTGCGATCATATTTATAAACATGATTCATAATCTTTTCATAATTTTCATCAGTTATCTTTTCATAAACGTAATTTTGTAAATCAGCAACTCTTAACGGGTCAACCTGACAAAATACTAAAGTATCCCTGAAAACATAATATTTCAAAATGATTTCACCAAATGATTTGGGATAATCATCGAACGCCTGAAATGCTAACAAATCATTTACCGGAATAATCATATCAAAAGTGACATCAACTTCTTCATTTGCTTTCTTGAAAACTTCTGAAGGGTCAATATATTTTCCACATACTGAGTTATCATATTTTTGGACATTATTATATAACGAATGAACAAACTTTTTAACTTTCCTTTCTGATTTTGGTTTATATGTTGCAAATGCGAAAGATTCACGGGCGCAATCCATCTGAAGATAACCGGCATCACCTCTTTCGGTTTCTACTTCTAATTGTTTAAAGCTTTGATTTGATGATTTATAACCAACGAATAAACGCATGCATTTAAAAGTGGCATCACATGTGAAAGCTTTATTTGAAACTAGAGTTGCTTTAACTTTGCGTTTAATATATGTGTCACCTAATTGATTCACATCATGAGCCGGATTTGTAATTCTTAAATGAGTTTGTTTATCATCAAAATATGGAGTATCAGAGTCATAGCATGAACTTTCAAGTTCTCTATAATATCTTCTACCGTCATTCTTTGCGAATATTTTATTTATCTTTTCAAATGAATGAAACACATTTCCATTAATTGGTTTAGTGTTTGGCACTAAATAGTTAGTCGTCATTTATGATGAAATAAAAAAATCAAAATTAAAAGATGAAAATGAATTTTTAATTTTAATGAAATAATCAACTATGGCTGCAGGATTCTTTAAAAAGTTATGGGATAAAGTAAAAAGAGGAGCGCATAAAGTTTGGGAAACAATGAAGAAAGGAGCAAATTGGATATTTAAGAATAAAGAAGCAATTAGTGACGTTGCAGAACAAATAGCACCTAATGTTCCGGTAAGGGAAGTATTAAATAAAGGAGATAAAGTTTATCGTCGACTACAACCGATATTGAGATAAAAATAATATTTATTTTTCCACTACTTTCCTCCTATTTTATTAAGTATTCCTTCAGCAATTCCACCAACTGCGTTACCTGCTTGTGCTCCCATCGCTGGATTACCTGCTTTAGCACCTAATACTCCACCTATGATAGTTCCTGCCGTTTTCGCTACTGGTGCCAAAAAGTTTGCAATGGGTTTAATAATCTTTTGATGAACCCAACTTGCAGCTTTCTTAATTCCTTCCCATAACTTTTTAAAGAATCCTGCCGCCATTTCTGATTTAATATTAATTAAAAAATATATTTCATCACTTATATTCTAATTTTTATTTAATGATAAATGAAACCGATTTTAAAAATAAATGAAACAGAGGAGGAAGAAATAAGTGAAGATGTTCAAAATAAAATAAACATTGTTAAACCATTACTGAAACAAAAATTTTTTCATCTGTTGAAGAATTTAATGACTATTATGCTAATAATAAAAAATTATTTGAAGAATTGACAACATGTAAATTGAATAAAATGTTTAAAGTTGATGGATTCAAAATTTCAAAAATAAAAGGTGTTGTTAGTTTGAAATCTATTCCTCAATCAAGAATCACCGCATTAATGAAAATTGATGATTTAACAAAAAGAATAGAAATTATTGAAGAAAGAATAAATCAAATAATTGATATCATAAATCATGACTCGTTGAGCCCGGGTCCTTAAAGTCCAAGGCACAAAGTGCCCAGGACTTAAAGTCCAAGACACAAAAGTACCCAGGACTTAAAGTCCATCACTGAGTTCAAGGTTATATTCATCAAATATTTCATTATTAAATGCAACTTCTGCTAGTTTATTTATTTTTTCAATACGATCATTTGAAAGTCTATCGTTTAATTTTTTCTGAAGTTTTTCATTTTCTAGTTCTGAAACTTTATTTGGATGATATGTAAATTCATGAAATTCTTTTTCCTCAGTTTTGATCATTAATTTACAAAGAACTTTTGTGGTTGGAATTCGTTTGAACCATTTATCCTTAATATTCGTTATAAATTCAATATCTGGAATTAATTCCCAAATTTTTGCATTTTCAATTAATTTATTATCAAATGCAAAAGCAATGGGTTTAATATTAAACTTACCTTTATAATATAAACTTTCTACATAATCATCGAAATAAACATCTACTTGTTTAACATTTTCAAGAATTGGTGAAAGAGCATCCATTAATTGATTGACGGTTACGAATCTTGATCCACTCATTTTCTTACGAATTAAAAAAATAAATTATTCATAAATGTTAGAAGAAAATATTTAAATAAATTATTTAAATTTTTTTACTCTATTCAAGAATTTTATTTTTGATTATAACTCATTGAATTCAAAATTTTTTAAAAATTGACACCATATTTGGAATCTATGCAAAAATAAAATTCTTTTTATTAATGATAATATAGGAATTGTAGGAATAAAAACTTTTTATAAATTATTCATAAATTTTTAAAATCTGCTATTCGGAAGTATGTTCAAAAATCATTCAATTATGTGAGAATTCTTACGATTACAAAAAAGGTCACACAACCCGCATTCATATACTACTTTTTTCAATTTTGAACAAAACTTAAAACCAAACTAACCGATTAATAGAACTCATAAAATAACAGTGCAAAGACATATTTAACTTTTCAAAAATTCTTCAAAAAAATCCAAATGAAAGAAAATTTCGACACAAAAAAAAGTGTGTTTTTGCGGAAATAAAAAAAACTTATGGGAAGAAATAATTTAATGTAATTGCTCAAATTGTCGCTTAATTACTAGTACTAAGCGGAATATCGATTCTGAATCACACTGATAAATCAGGTTTTAAAAAGGTTTTAGATGACCTATCGGGTGATAAAGCATATATTAGTATAAAAGTATACTTTTTCTCAATATGGTCACTTTTATCGGTACGACTCATCTCTCAATGGACGTTATGTTTTTTTTAATTTTTGAATTTGAATGACGTTTTACAGGCGTGAAGTTACAAAAAATTAATATAATATGAAATTACATATATAATGTTTCATTTGCAATAATTTCATAATTCAAATAAAAATAATCGTAATGGTTTGAATTTATTTTTCCATTTCGCAATGATCTCGTTACTTTTAAGTTTATCAATTAGTATCCATGTTTCCTCAACAGGTAGTGGCTATACTATAACAGATACTCCAGTGCTTCTTGAATTTCCGCAGAGTCTTGACAAATATATTTACGTTGTTTTTCTAAATGCTGACCATTTTGTTCTTTCTAATGGCACTCTTCTTAACAAAGTTTACAAAAATCCGGAAAATTTTTATGTTCAAACAAAAGTTTATCCATCTTTCACAATGTACATAGAAATTTTTCAAGTTAGCGTAAAATGTGATTCAATTGATTTTGTACTCAATTATGATCCAAACCCTATTGAATTAACATCAGATTTAGTAGGAGTTTCTAAATCCTATTGTATTTTCTTCGCCAGTGCCACTCTCATGGATTATACCTTCTACCAAGATTCTCTGAAAAATGCTAATGTAGAACTTTATAATTATTTGACCTATATTCCTCATGTTCCATCTTTATCAGATACAAAACCAGAGGTTACTGTAACATTTTCAAAAAATACTATACTTATACTTCAAACATCAGATCAGCGAATGACAGGATCATGTGGATTGAAATCAATGGAATTTTCTAGAGAAGATGAATATCCACTTACTTCGTACGTAACAAATGGTACTTTTTCCTATACAGATTCTAAATCTATACTTCCTGGATCAGTAAACTCAAATACTGAATATTATGCTGATATTAATTTAATGAATAATCAAAATATGAGGCTTCGATCCGGTTCTTATGTTCTTACATTTGCATCTGGTCAATCATATAATATTAGCCAAAATCAATTCATCGCATTCCACACACCTAAAGATCAAAAAATATGTGATGTCACAGCTTCAGTGAAATCTGGCAAAAATTCAGAGACATTACTTGGAAATACAAGCATCTATGGAGTTTATTACAAGTCTGATGGCCAACTAACACTCAATTCAACTAAAAAATACTCATCATTATATGTCACGGTTTATTCAGCAAATTCAGGCGATGGTTTTTTCGATGAAATGTTTGTTTTGCTAGGTAATACATCTCAATTTATCATAACAGATAATCATCCCCAGGCAGTAGCAGGGCCTGGAATTTCAATCGTGAAGAAGGATGATTCATTACGTTTCTACTCTGCTTTTGTACCAGGAACAATATATATTACAACTTTGTATATACCATGGATACGTTTCCACCGAGCTGACACAAATAATCTTCAATACTTCACCACAGATTGGGATAACATAACGAGCACAAAATATTTCCAATATCCTATTATGATTGATGTTAGACATGCTTCTTATATTGGAAAAGAAGAAGATCTTTATGGGTCGTATGGAATTTTCGCTTCATCAGATGAATATTATTTTAAATCTCTTATACTAGAGAATGATGAAAAGGCAGCTGCTCGGTTTGTAATTATTAGTGATTACGATCCCACCATAGAAATCATAATTATTGTTTGCATGGTAGTTGCCATTATTATTGTAGTTGTTTTAATCGTTTTATGTTGTTACTGCTGCTGTTGCAAGAAGAAAAGCTGCTGTTGTATGAAGAATAACAAAGTTAATGCCGAAAGTCAATCTTCTTCTTCAGATTCTTCATCAAAGAAGAAAGATTCTCTTCAAAATTCACCTCCTCAGCCTATGAGCTACGAAGTACAGTCCCCGCAGGAGGGATCTCAGCCAATCAAAACTCAGGATATTCCTGTAAATCCCTGAAAAATAATTAAAAGTTTATTATTAAATTGTTTGCATATTACTTTGTCATACTATAAATCAATGCAATAAGAAGAGGAGCATTTCAGTTTTTATCTTTTGCATTGATGTCTGCACCATATGAAATAAGAAATTCTGCAAAATTCTCGATAGTTGTTTTTAGCCGCTAAATGAAGTGCACCTAATATTTGCAACATGTGAAATAAGAAATTCTGCAATTTCTTTCCAGCCATATTCTATAGTTAAAAGTAGTAAAGGTAACTAAACTACTTTCGCCGATCCGATTTGCTCCATATTTAAAATATAGCTTGCATATGTAGAAGAAAAGCTAATTTTGAAGTACGCCCGAAATCCACCAACAGGATTTCGAGCTACTAAAAAGGTACTTTTAAATGTGATTTTTTTATAAAAAATTAAATTTATTTTAAGATCAGACTAAAAACTAATTTTATGGAAAATCTATATCAACAAATTTATTACTTATTGGGTATATATATTTTTTGATTATGGCGATTATGTCTGATATGCTTCCAATAAGCCAAAACACATTTCATACTGATTTCTATAAAAGGTATCTTTATTATAGAAGTGTAAGCTATATCTGTTTGTTTTTTTATTATAACAAATTCAAAATTCTCTTATAAGGACTAGATGAAATCTGTATTATTAAATCATTAGCTAAATGAAGGTTCAAATAGAAAGTAAATATCAATTTATATGATACTGAAACCAAATAGTTCTTTTAATAAAAGATAACACGCTGAAAATTATTGAGTATTTGCAAATCTCAAAAATCTATTGGTGAATTTGGCTCAACTTTTAAAATTATAACATCCATATCAAATCATAAAAGCAGACAAAAATTAAAGCCAAATCTATCGGCCAATTTTTTTTGATATTTTGATTTTTGAGGTATACTTTTAAAAGTGGATTTAAAGCACTTATGAAAAAACATTAACTTCTGTCGTTATGATTATTGATTTAGACAATAATGATTTTAATCTTTGATTATCAAAACACTAAAGTCATCTTTTTAACATTTGCTTGGTAGCATTAACTCAAGTCTAAAGTACTATTTTATGTGGCACTCTTAGAATTTTTGTATTCATTGTACACGCTGAAATAGTACCATTAAAGTTATGGCGGACTTTCAAAAAATAGTTTGGTCACCTTTAAAGTAGTAGGATATGAAGGGTTGTGTGACTTTTTTTGTTACATCTATATATAGACGATGCATTAAAATATATTTATTTATAAATCATTAAAAAATTAACATTAATTTTAAAATAATTTATTTTTTTATCTTTTATAAAAGAAGCTATATATAGATGATGTCAGATATTCCGCGATTAATTAAACATTGTTTAAATCCTGAATGGGTTAAACTTCAATTTAAAAATGAAGATTGTGAATTATTAAATGAATATGAAAGCCAAAATAAGCTAATGAGGTATAAATATAATGATAAAGAATATTTAATTTCATGGAATCAATGGAGTCATAATCAAAGACCTCATAAACGAGAAGAAGAAATTGAAAATAATGAAATGGAAATCATTGATGACATTAAAGAGGATGGAATTCCTAAATTTTGTAGAAAAACCTTTAGAACTAAGTTAGGAGCATATAAACGTAGAGTATTAAATCCTGAATACATAAAACATTTATTTAAAAAGGAAGACTGTGAATTATTAAACGCTAATGAATATGAAAATGCTAAATCAAAACTGAGATATAAATATATTGGAAGTGATGAAAGGTGTAAAGATAAAGATAAAGTTTATTCAGTTTCATATAATAACTGGCACACGTTAGGGATAAGAAAACATTTAGGAGATTATGGGAAATGTTCTGAATTCTTTAAATCTAGTATGTACGAGAGAGTAAAAGAAATTAGAAATAATTATTTTCATGAATGAAAGATTCACTACCATAATGAAATAAAAAAATTTTTAAAAAATAAACTTTAAAAATTCATGTCTTACATTTTTGAATAATTTATTTTTAATTCGTATGAAATGAGCGTCAAAACTAACAACGTTAAAAAATTAGGATTCACAAACGAGGAAATAAAGGATATATTATTTAAGAAACTAATGATTATTTGAATTTATGATATCAATTATCTGATTTATTCTTTCTTCAATCTCTTCTATTCTTTTTGTTAAATCATCTATTTTCATTAATGAGGTGATTCTTGATTGAGGAATAGATTTCAAACTAACCACTCCTTTTATTTTTGAAATTTTGAATCCATCAACTTTAAACATTTTATTCAATTTACACGTTGTCAATTCTTCAAATAATTTTTTATTATTAGCATAATAGTCATTAAATTCTTCAACAGATGAAAAAATTTTTATTTCAGTAATTGGTTTAACAACGTTTATTTTTTGTTGAACATTTTCACTTTCATTTATTTCTTCCTCTCTGTTTCATTTATTTTTAAAATCGGTTTCATTTATCATTAAATAAAAATTAGAATATAAGTGATGAAATATATTTTTTTAATTAATATTAAATCAGAAATGGCGGCAGGATTCTTTAAAAAATTATGGGATGGAATTAAGAAAGCTGCGGGTTGGGTTTATAAAAAGATTATTAAACCCGTTGCAAACTTTTTGGCACCAGTAGCGAAAACGGCAGGAACTATCATAGGTGGAGTATTAGGTACTAAAGCAGGTAATCCGGCGATGGGAGCACAAGCAGGTAACGCAGTTGGTGGAATTGCTGAAGGAATACTTAATAAAATAGGAGGTAGATAGTGGAAAAATAAATTATTTTAAAATTATTTTTATCTTAGTATCGGTTGTAGTCTTTGATAAACTTTTTCTCCTTTATTTAAAACTTCTCTTATTGGGGCAGCTTTTGGTGTTATTGATTCAGCAACGTCACTAATTGCTTCTTTATTCTTAAATATCCAATTTGCTCCTTTCTTCATTGTTTCCCAAACTTTATGCGCTCCTCTTTTTACTTTATCCCACAGTTTCTTAAATATACCTGCAGCCATAGTTGATTATTTCATTAAAATTAAAAATTCATTTTCATCTTTTAATTTTGATTTTTTATTTATTAATAAATGACGACTAACTATTTGGTGCCAAACACTAAACCGATTAATGGAAATGTGTTTCATTCATTCGAAAAGATAAATGAAATATTCGCAAAGAATGACGGTAGAAGATATTATAGAGAACTTGAAAATTCATGCTATGACTCTGATGCTCCATATTTTGATGATAAACAAACTCATTTAAGAATTACAAATCCGGCTCATGATGTGAACCAATTAGGTGACACATATATTAAACGCAAAGTTAAAGCAACTCTAGTTTCAAATAAAGCTTTCACATGTGATGCCGCTTTTAAATACATGCGTTTATTCGTTGGTTACAAATCATCAAATCAAAGCTTTAAACAATTAGAAGTAGAAACCGAAAGAGGTGATGCCGGTTATCTTCAGATGGATTGCGCCCGTGAATCTTTCGCATTTGCAACATATAAACCAAAATCAGAAAGGAAAGTTAAAAAGTTTGTTCATTCGTTATATAATAATGTTCAAAAATATGATAACTCAGTATGTGGTAAATATATTGACCCTTCAGAAGTTTTCAAGAAGCAAATGAAGAAGTTGATGTCACTTTTGATATGATTATTCCGGTAAATGATTTGTTAGCATTTCAGGCGTTCGATGATTATCCTAAATCATTTGGTGATATCATTCTTAAATATTATGTTTTCAGGGATACTTTAGTATTTTGTCAGGTTGACCCGTTAAGAGTTGCTGATTTACAAAATTACGTTTATGAAAAGATAACTGATGAAAATTATGAAAAGATTATGAATCATGTTTATAAATATGATCGCAAATTCCAACAATCGGACTTCCTGCCAAATTAATTACAAGCTTAGCCGCTACATCTGCTGACGCAACAGTTGATACGTTATTATTTCATGCACAAAGATGGAAGTTTTAGAGGATAAATGCATTACACCAGGATACGGTTTAATTGAAGAATCAGTTAAAGCAATACCACGTTTATTCAGTAAGGAAGATCCATTCATGATTCCAGCTCAACATATTGACGTTCGTTCACTAAATGGAGGTTGCATCACTCCTGAAGGTATTAGCTCAGATTTCTCATACGCTCTTCATAATGTTACAGATGTTGTGTTAACATTTCCGAAGAATGCAATGCAAAGAACGGTTTTAGAAAATCCAATGCTTCGAGGTCTTCAGGTCACTATAGATTCCAGAAACTTCCCCGATCAAGCGATGACCACAGTGGGTGACATATTCTTTACACGTATGCTTCAAGCTTCTGATTTAGATGGAGTGAATGAATGCACAGAAGAATACGAGGACTCATTAACTAGACCACTGAATGCAGATGATGGCACGCCATTAGCTAGAACATGGAAAGACCAAACTTCATTCTTATGCACTATTCCAGTTCAACGTGATGGAGCGGGTATATTCTTTGATGGATTAGAAACTTTCAACTCACAAGTTACAGTACAAGTGAAAGCTTATCCAATCATTCAGGGTGAAAATGACACTTACTGTTCAAAGGTGACAAATCCTCCTCAGGTTTGGTTTACTAGGACTACATATTGGACATGGACACCGGATGAAGGTTTGAAATATCATCCAACAGGTACACCACCACAGTATAGAAGTTCATATGATGAAATATTGATGAATAGAAATGTTTAAAATTATAAATTTATTTTTGATTAAATGGATTTAAATTCATCCACCCTTATGAAGAATTAGCAGGAGTATATAATACATACGTAGATGATATGATTAATGAAGCATTGAGTGATAATAGAAATGCTCTATCTAAGGAAAAATTAATGAAAATTCCATATTCTGAATGTTACTTAAATTCAATCACTGCAGCAATTGGTAAACAAAATAAAGGTAAAACATTAACGATATTAAAACAAATTATCATTATTGCTAACACTTCCCCCCATTCACATGTGTTAATTTATAT